AATGGATGATTATTAAATTCACTAATAGATGATGGAAACTTTTCAGATATTTCTAATGATGCCAATTCTTCATTTTCATTTTTATCTTGTTCCTAATTAATAAATTTTTTTAATTATTATTTAATTATTATCTGTAGAATAAATGAATAGTATAATAATATTGTATACAAAATAACATTTACTTACCGTTTCAAATGGACAAGTAAAACAGGATAATGTCTCACTCCACCAATCGTAACCATCCTTTGTAGGTGGGACGCGTAATTTTCGTGTTTTTGCACCCCATTTAGTTGTATATCTACGTGTAACATCTTTAATATATTCACTTTCATCAAAAGCAACAACATAAGCCAATACATTATTATGATCATTAGTAGCTGGTTCCATTGAACGTGGTTCATTCACTGTGAACCGAATAGGATCAACACAAAACCATTTTTTATGTACTTCAAAATAAACTTCACACCAGAAAATTGGTGGTGAGTTTAAAAAATATTTCTCGCTATTATTTGATGATGATGATGATGATGATAAATTAGTATTAAATGATTTCCTTCGTTTCAAATTATTCGAACCAGTTGTTGATCTTTTTCTTTTGGTATTGATATGTTAACATTAATGTGGCTCACATTAACCAATAACTTCCTTTCTAGAAGTTGTTTTCAATATCAAAATCACTATCTTGAAAAAAACATTTTTTACCATTATTATCTGATCCACTCATTGAAGCATCATTGTTTTTCTCAAGTTATATCTCTCCTAGACTTTTGTAATTGAATTTTATCATTGTGTTAAATTTATTTAACAGACTGCCCAAGAAATTCTAAATCCACCTTAAATCTGATTTGTCTGATTAGAATCTGAATTCAACCAACTTGACAAAAATAAACTTTATCTCCGGTTATTAGTAAAGCATGTCTTGGGGTCTAATCTAATTAATGTCTTATATTGTTGATTTTTTTGTGATCTGCTGCATATTAATATTAATATTAATTGCAGAATTTCCAGAATTTACGTAAAGGACATACTGTTTTCAAACCACTGTTCCTTTTCCGTTTTCAAAGATATAGGTGCCAAATTTGCATGAAAGATAGTATATGTGTTATAATTTAAAGCTATG